CCGTGTCCCCAGTGGATGTCCCCGTGTCCCCAGTGGGTGTCCCTGTGACCCCAGTGGATGTCCCCGTTTCCCCAGTGGGTGTCCCCGTGTCCACAGTGGGTGTCCCTGTGTCCCCAGGGGATGTCCTTGTGTCCCTGCAGTGTCCCCTGTCCCCTCACCGAAGGCGAAGAGCTGGTCCCACGCTCGGCAGAAGGCGTCCCAGGGCGCGGGGACGAGGCGCAGGAGGGGCCTGGGCAGTGCCATCGTCACCAGGGTCAGTGCCAGCACCGCCCCCACACACCGGATCACACCCTCGGTGGCCTCGGTGGCCTCGGGGTCCCCGTTGTCCTCCAGGCAGCCCAGGCGGGAGGAGAACAGCACCCAGGAGATGGCTGGGGGGACATGGGGACATTGGGGACATGGGGACACTGGGGACATGGGGACACAGGGGGCAGGGGTACATGGGTGATATGGGGCACCCTGGGGACCATGGGAGACCCTGGGAACATGGGGGGACCCTGGGAATATAGGGGACCCTGGGGACAGGGGGACATGGGGATGATGGGAATATGGGGAGACACTGGGGACAGGGGGACATGGGGACAATGGGCACACAGAGATGATGGGAATATGGGGGGGACACTGGGACTTGGGGCACCCTGGGGACCATGGAAGACCCCGGGGACGCAGGGACAGTGGGATGGGGGAACCCAAGATTCCCTGGGGACACTGGGGAACATGGGGGACCTGGGGACTTGTTGAGTCCCTTGGGGGACAGGGAGGGTCCCTGTAGGGGGAGGTTCCAGCCTCGGGGGGGTGCAGGCCTTAGAGAGGGACATGAGGGACCCTTTGGGGAGACACAGGGACACAGGTGGGGGACAGAGGGACAGAGATCCAGGTGGGGGACAGGGACACAGGTGACAGGGCACGGAGGGGACACTCAGGAAGGGGGAAGAGGGGACAGAAGCAGGGACAAGGACATGGGGGATGCCAGGACACGGGGAGGGACAAGAACAGGGGGGACAGTGATACGGTGGGGGATGGGGACACGAGTGACACGGGTGGAGGACAGAGAAGAGGGGACCCAGGGCACACGGGTGGGACATGGGGGACATGGGACAGCCCTGAGGGAGCGTCCCTGCCCTTTAGGGTCGCCCCTCACCCTCGAGGCCGAAGCGGTTGAACTCAGTGCCGATGTCGGACACGACCCCCCCAGGGTGGCGTCGCCTCAGCCGCCGCAGCCGCGTCACCAGCTCGGCCACCGCCACCGCCACCGGGCCAGCAAAGGCCTCGGCCGCTCCCGGCAGCAGCAGCCCCCGGGCCAGGACCCGCCGCGACCCCCACCAGGCCTCCCCCTCCCTGCAGGGGGACACACTCAGAGCCAGCACCGGGGACAAGGGGAGAGGGACACGGGGGACACAGCAGGACACGGGATCACAGGGGGACAGGGACACGGGGGGCACGGCAGGACACGGGGTCACAGGGG